AGCATAAAGGCAAATATGTCTAAAAATGTAATATTTAGTCACTAACTAGTAATTCTTTAAAAAATCATTTCATAACACACACTTATTTTCTAAGTCTACGAGAACTCATGCTTTGGCCTAACATAAAATAAAAATAGGATTTATATTTCTTATCTTGGTCTGCTGCTAAAAGAACGTCCCATTGTGCTGAAATATATTTCCTTAAACTCTCCCTCCCTCTCCAGGTCTGTGTTCTGTGGCTGTGGGACCGTGCGACCGAGCACATGGCAAGCCCTGACACTTTGCTGAGGCTCACCGAGGAACGCTGTGGTTGTCCACTATGGCAACCCTCACCGTCTGGAAGACCATACACTTCCTCAGTCAGCGGAAAAACATTCACAAGGCTCCTTCAACAGATTATGAAAAACTTGCCCAGTCCTCTACAAAAGCTCTATTTCCAAATTAACGTTGTCAGCTTTTATCCATACAGGGGAGTAACACTTCTGAGTTCCAGTTACAATGACCACTGATGTGTATTTCACTAGTAACACACACCTGCAGTGTGATTATATTTCAAAGTCAAGGAAGAAAATAAAAAATATGAAAAAGAATCCTTGGTCAATTTACCTTCAAAATGCTCTTAGTTATCTTAGAAGGAGTGTGCAATAAGAAAAAAAAAAAAGGAAAAAGAAGGAAGAAACATAAAAAAAGGAAAAAAGAAAAAAAGAAGGAAGACAGGAGAAAAAAGAAAAAAAGAGAAAAGAAAAAAAAGGGTAGGAGGAGGGGAGAAAACAAAAAAGGAGCACAGACAACCAAATTCTTTAGTAGCACCTTCTTACTTGTTCAGCAAACGAACACTTCCATGCTTTCAGAAGCATCTGATTGCTTCTGTGTCAGGAGTCTGAGGAATAATTTTAAATATAAAAACAATCAGAGTTTGAATACTGTTGCCTGACGTGTCCTTGCTTCCTGAAGAACATATTTAAACAATATTTTAGCAGCACATCCAAAAGAGTGCTTAGGAGCTGGGACTGCACACCAAGACGTACAATAGACCTCGAAAAACTCTACCATCAGAAATTCACCATGCGTCAAGTACAACAGCTTAACATGGAGCAAAACATTTGATCGCTGCCTTTTTCCTGGGGAAGAACTCATTGATGTGCTCTATTCAAGACACTCATTCATGTGCTCTGCTGAACACTGGGTGGGTGAGCTGGGCCTTTCTTTATGCCTGAAACAGGCATCTTCTTCGTCAAAACTATGCTACGCTATTGAGGATCTTCAATTTTCTGACAACTTTCAAAGTAACTATTTTCTCTTTACCAGTGAAGCTGAATTTTCCACCTCTAACTCGCCTTTCTGAAGCCACTGAAGTTGCACCTGAGCTGCATTATTTGCATTACTATACAGCATTGCCCCCCCAATATTTGGCAGCATTTTGGCTATACTGGTTAACAAAACCAGACTACTAAGAGTTATCAGCATCAAGCAAAATAAGCTAAGACTGTTTCTGTTTCAATACAAGCTACCCACAAAAATCCTCTCGGTTTTTAATTGCCCACTGTGACCTAAGACACACATCTAATTTTTAAATCTAATGTGAGTTTTATCATTTGGGTACAGAAATCCTGCGTGTGAATCACGTTGGGCAATGCTGATCTGTCCCTCCTAACAACTGGCTATTCCAGAATACGTCCAGTGAGGTTTACCAGAAGGTGTCAATGAGATGGGTTACACAAGGCTGAACGTGAGTGATAACAGGCGTGTTTCAAATTACACAGCAATAATTTTGAGATGTCAGAATCCAGTCACCTCCTGTGAAGTTTGCCAGAGGAGCTCGCTAGAAGGTTTGCAGCCAAGTTGACAAATCAGATGTCTACCTTCTCAGACTCACTGGTCTGGTACCCTTGCCATCTCCACCCATGCAGAGTAGGATCCAGAAACCATCCCATCCTCTGCCCCTTAGGGAAACTCCTTAGGCAAGACCCCCTTCTTGTGCAAGTAGGGACTCTCCTCTCTGTGCTCCCCTGGAGAAGAACCAAACAATCCTCCCCCCCCAGGTACTTCTACGCAGTTGGGAAATACCTGCAGCTAGTAATTACGCCATATAATATCCTTCATAAATCAGGCATGGATCTCTGCCCCCGAGTTGAACAAATAAAGGGGACTCAAGGAGACGAAAAGGAATGCTTAGTTTCCCTTTCTAAAATTCAGGAACTGAAGCAAAAGAGATGTGAATATTTTCCCCAGGGTTACAAAAAAGCATGCAGCAGGGCCAGGGGCTGGTTTGGGTCACTGAATTTAACGACACGAGACCACAGTGTGCGCAGTGCAACGCAGGCCATTCTAGAAATTGATTTGAAGTTTTTATGAAAAATAAATCATAGTCTTACCTTCAAAAATACAAGCTTTCATTTTGCTTCATTTTAAGCTATTGATTTCAACAGCGTTCTGACAAAATATGACAGTTCATATGGGCTGATGACTTCTACTATAAATGTGGTCCAGCTGATTAGACTACTTAAAAATATACATTTTCTCACCCAATCAGTTCAGCTAAAAATAAAATAGTGCATTGATTCCTTCCCCTTGTGCTGTCCTGTTTTGCATTTTTGTCATATATTGTTTGAGTTAATTTTCATTCTTTGGTATCATAAACATCAACACTGCACTTCTTTGCTAGTACACCTATTGATAGAGCAAGACATTTATTTTTTACAAGTGAAAAAAAAAAAACCACTGACAACATCTGTGTGTTGCTGGTAGCAAATAGGCTTCCTCCTGTTTCTTTCCGTGTTTAAAAATTAAAATTGTTAATTGTATGAAACCTTTGGATACTATCACTTCATATTAATGGAGCCAGCCCAAAAAGTGCAAGGGTTTGATATTTCACAAGACAACCTGGCTTTGATAAAGACTGGAACAAACAATTCTTTCATATATTCACAACAAGGTAAGCCAACTTCTTAAAACAATTTAAATTGCATCTTTAAAATGTCAAGTGAGATGCACCATTTGATATGTTTGGCTGTCACGTTGAAAGGTAGCTTTTTTTTTAATCGAGTGTGCTTCATTCGTCTAGAGTTTTTAAGGACATGTTATGATTTGCATTCAGTTTTTTATGTTATTTAAATATTCTGCAACAATAAGAGTGCTTCAGAATTACAATACAAATTTCATTTAATACTCCTTAAGCATTTGTTCACTACAAAAACTGTTCCAAAACACATTTCTAACAAAGCCATTATAAATCATTCAGCCTCAGTCCCTTTGCTCTCTCATGACGCTCTTTTGTCAATGGGGTAAGGTAAAACAAACATGCGTACAAATAAACCTCTTAAATATTTTATAGAAGAAGTGAACAGCAATAATAAGTAATCCAAAGTAATGTTTTTGCTCCACTTACACCATCTGTATTTACTTTTATGTAGCATCAGAAAAATAATTTTAGAAGAAAATGTATGCTTGTGATAAAGTGATATACGCAGGTATGATAATGAGAAAAAAAGGACCCTTTTTGTCAGAGTTCTCCATTACCAGGAATAAAACACTCTATTGCATAGCACAGCAGACTCTTCCTTCCAAAAAGCACAACCTATCTAAATGTCCCTCATAAATATTTGTGAGCCCAGAACCAAAAGAATAAGAATAATTAAAATTAATTAAACAGAACTTATAGGTGGAGACCACAAAGTTCAGTTTATGTATTTGTCTCTCTTCCCATTTTTGATCCTATCTATTTTATTTCTGTGACTTTTCAGATTTTTTCATGCTACTCTAATATCCTAAAACATATTGCTAAAATCCTTGTAAATAAACCACAAGTTTTCAGCAATAAGCCTACCAAGTCCTTTTGGTCTTTCACCTTTGTTAGAGATGAGGCTCTACCAGGCTTTTGTACAGAAAGCCTCTCCAGTGCCTTCATTCTGCCTTTAAGACTATCTCTTTTATGATTATATCATTTTATAGCGCCATCACTTGCCAGCATCTTTCCTTACAGAAACACCATGGGAAACTCTATAATTTTCTCCAGGTAAAAATATGTCAGGCCTTTTTTCTTCTCTAGACAACCTGCATTTCACATGTTCCCACATGATTTCTTATCAGTTTCTGCTTTTCTCTTCAGGCTTCCATTTCCCCACGAAAAGCTAATTCTTTATTTGCATTTTGGTATGTTTTCTTGACTTCTCCCTTTACATTTAATTTAGGTTAGACTCTTTACCTTTGGCATACCAGAAGTGAGTGAATGATTACAGTAGCTCAATGCCTGAGAAAACACATCCTGAAGGTATTTTTGGTAGATCTGAGATCTGGTGTTAATTTTTTTCAGCCCATAGTTGTGTCATACCAGTTACCAACCCTCCTGTAAGATCACATCACCTGGGAGCAAGTCTATTTTCCCAGTTAGCATTCTTGCAGGGCCATCACCTCACTCCCTTCTTTTGCATTTCCCTCCTAGATATTTTGATAGCAAAATTATTTACCTACAGTTCCCACACTTTCTTCCTTTAGTGCAAATTAGTGATTTTTTCTACAGCAAACTCCAGTCCCCAAATGTGTGTTTATTGTATAGAAGGTAAAATACATCCTTTGGAAAGTGATTTTGCTGAGACTTTAATGCAGTCAGGGTATTCTGTGTAACCCCTGGCTCTAACAGTTACATTTGGCAGGCTCCTGGGACAGCAGCAAAAATGAAAATCTTTGTGCATTCCCAACATTTGTTTGAGTTATTCTTCCAAACCAAAAGCTGATTGGGGTTGGAGTTGCCACTGGGAGGGTCCACAATTGCTCGCTGACCTATCAGCAAATATATCTACAAGGACTGTCTACAAAACTTGTGCCTCTCTTCTGCTTTTCTACTAACTTTGTACTTTCAAATAGCCTCCAAGCTGCTTTAAGCTATTCAGTTTCCAACAATTAGGAAGCAGAAGCTGACAGCATGCCCAAATCTATTTTCATGGCACGTGTCCAAGATAAAACAGTGCCAAGAATCTGTTCTTTATCTTTCACTATCAAAGATCTAAAAACTTCCGGAAAGAACATGCATCATCACCAACCCTCGCACAAACAGAGCACGCCTACGCTGCTGCTGTGCTGCAGGAAAACACAGCTCTCCTCCCAGCCACCGCAAGCTTGGATGGGGCAAGTGTCTTGCAACACCGGAAGCGTAAGCAACATGTGAAAATACAGGCTGGCATTGGGGTCGGTCCCCTTTTCATCCCCTAATTTTTCCTCTTTTTTTTTTTTTTTTTAAACATGTGAAAATACAGGCTGGCATTGGGGTCGTTCCCCTTTTCATCCCCTCATTTTTCCTCTTTTTTTTTTTTTTTTTTGACACAAGAAAAGCTTGGGACCAAACACAGGAGATGTCCAGAGCCCTAGATGGCTAGTTTCATCCTGAGACACTGCTTTGTAACCAGGACGGTCACAGCCATTTTTTTATTGATTTAAACGTTGAAGAAGATTTGCATTTGCCTCTCAAATCTACAGTTATTTCCTTTTGTTTCACCCACTTCTTTCAAATAAGTGTAATATTCTAGCATTAATAGGAGATCGAGCATTCAGAATAACAGACTTCACCCTCTTCCTTTTAATTCTACCTGTTACTTACAGAGAAAGCCCGGCTGTCCCTACCAACTCCTCTCTGTCTTCTGTTACCATCATCATCAGCTCTAAAATTCTCCCCTAGTGTTATTCTCTTTAAATGATGCTATCTATGCTCCATAAGTCTCCAGCTCACAAACCCAGAAGTTAACGTTATCTTTGCTTGCTTTGACTGATTTAATTAGCAGACAGCATGTATTATGGAAGGTCATAAATATTTATCATTTTGAAAATATTCCCTTTATTGTTGTTGTGCAATACTAGGAAGGATACACTAAAGCAAATTGGTTTTGTCTCTATTCAATATAATATTTGTTCACTTGACCAGAATGAACACATTGGAGTTAGACAATAGAAATATCAAGAAAGTCTTTTATTCGTGGCTCTGCCACTCCGAGACTAAAAGGTAAGATTCTCCAAGAAGGTGAGTGGTCTTTGTCTGCACATATTTGCAATTCTCTGGGGAATAGAATACACAAAGCTGCTTTCAGATGACCTCCATCCAGGCTAAGAAATTCATTAACCACCTTCAATTTAAAATTGAAATGAGAGAGAAAAAACGTTGCTTTTACAATTTTATTCAATTATCTTTCTTTGAAAGCCTTGGTAATTTATATATCGCTGCACTTGAAACGCGGTTGCTGAGATTCCTTTGGAGAACATGATTCTCAGTGAGTGTTTTGATCTTCTTTTTCCTACCTATGTGAAGGCCACAACTATCAGAATGCATTTATGTCCTTGATAATTCTTAAGCTGACATTTGTAAAACAACCTGGGACCTGGGTGTGTTCACTTTCATATTGTCAGAGGCAACTGCAAAAGCCAGTCTTTTCTTACTGCCCATCAAAACCTACTGTTCCTCTTAAGAGACAAAACCAGACGCTGATAAATTGACCATTCCCAAAATGAAGCTAGACCTCAAAACCCTACAACATGGCCTAGAAATTCTCCTTACTACTAATTCTGACTTGTTGTACTGGTTTACATGAATTTAAACTGCACCACAGGGTATTCCATTTGAAATACACAGACAGTGAAACTCTGTGTTGAAAATGTATGTGGTCTCCCTATTCTGACCAACTTGCCACTGATAAACATACAGAGCAGACCAAAAAGCAAACTAAAGAAGATAGTAAACTTCTTGCCAAATGCAGTTTTCAGCTATTTGTGTCTATTTGTCCCCAGAGGTACTCTTGCAGGTGTGCACTTCTGTTTCAGTTTGTACCTGTACTGCTGGAGGAGCTCAGTGGCTCTGTTTCAACACTCACACAAAGAACTAATGCTATGGGAAGCACAGCAAGATACTTGAGCATATCCAGCAATCCTGATCCTCTAAAAAAAAAAAAAAAAAAAACAAAACCAAAAAAACCCACATTTCAAAGGGGTCCAATTTTCACACAAAGATGTTCAGCAATTTCTGAAGATGTTTCATCATTAATAGAGGCCCCAGTTTCACTGGCTGCTTTCCGTTTAACTTATATGCCAATACTTTGACAAATGGGGCACATGACACTCCTTATCTCTTTTCTGTGGCTACATCATCTGAGGAGATACAGGTCCCATAACTGCTGCCAAATTTCCATCTTCCAATAAATGAACACTGACTAGACTATAGATAACTTCTTATGAGCTCGATCTGTTCTGTCTTATCTGAAACTATATATGTGCATTCAGCGCAAGCAGCAATTAAGTATGAGATCCAATCACTGACTAGCCTCTGCTTCCCCTAGATTTCTCTGAGACTTCTTTCTAATGAATATCATCATATATGGTCCTGGCTTGCACCACTTTACTAACAAGAACCAGACCCAGGTCCAAACATTCATGCAGGTGCCATGTGCTACAAGGAACAACAGACACTCTTGACTTGGTTTTTACAATGCCTAGCAGGCTGATTTCATTATGTATAGCTCAGCACATGGAAAACCACATTTTTAGTGTTATTTCTGAAATTCTATCTTCTCTGAAGCAATGCACGTATCTCAAGACCACAAATTGGCTTCTTATATGATCTGTAGATTCAACCCAAGCTACTTCCTGCCCTTAGGCCCTTGAGTGACTCCTTGTATAAGGATGAGAGTCGCTCTCATACAGTTGCCTGAACAGGCGATTATGGCAGCACCCACCCTGCAAACAGCAGTGGAGTGATTTGAGGTCTTGCTCAGGAACTGAGAGACCTGGGTTGTGACATCGTTGTGACCCACAGATGTGGGTTGTGTGGTTGTGACCCACCCAACCTTCAGAGCACAGAAAGAACCTGGGACTTGCATGACGGACAAGTCACAAAGCGATTACAAAGAAGAAGACTAATGACATGATTATCACCATCCTATCCTTCTCCTCCTGACACAATTATGTGGTTTCTCTATTCTAAGCTGATCACGATACTGTCAGCAGTTGCCAGTTATATTCAGAGCCAGCCAACCAATGAGAGAGCTTGGTACAGAGACACCTCAAACATGAATCCCACATGGCCCAAGAAGACATAGATTAGTCAAAACGGTGTTGGGTAGACAGAGGTTGAGTAATTTCAGTAGAAAAAGCTAATAAATGTTCAGGCACCTATACTGTCCTTAAGTTTTAACACAATTTTTCTTATTCCCTGCTTCTTAAAAGAAACTAGCCCACTCTATATAAGAGATAAAAACAGGCTTGATTATATGAAAACGTCCAAGGATTTGCTTGACAGGGCACATACGTCAGATAACAGGTAGATGGGGACTTCCAGCAGGTGACACAGAGCAGCAAAATGGAGCTCCTGTTTTGAACTTCCCCTCAGAGGAGGCTCAGCCCATTGCCTGTAACAGGAGCTTATGATAGCCAGCTAACTCAGGGAAGCATTTCACGTTGACTGCTATGAACAGTACACACAATAACCCCTCCGAGGGCTAAAACAGCTTCATCTTGCTTTTCTTCAAACTTTTAGAGGTGAAAATTTTGATGACTTAGATATGACGAGGGACAAGAAAAGGCAACATCTGCTATATCCAGCAATAAGGGTATCATTCTTACAAAGGTTCTCACCCACCCACACGAAGCCTATAATTAGACACGGTGTGGGCAGGTCCGCACCCACCGTCGTGGGACTGATTCCAAGTGAAAAGAGCCAGTAGCAACCAGGATTTGACAGGGAGCTGGCTGAACGGAGCTTGCAAAGCAGCAACCCTTCCTGCGTTCAGAGTGGTAAGTGGCTGAAGACTTGGTTGGGCTTTTTTGGTCAAGTGTCCTTACTAACTGCTGGTTGGGACTGGAGGGACTCCTGCTTCAAAGACGACACAGGCTGAACGGTGTGGCCTGAGTCAACAGGCAAAAAACAAACGGCGGCACTCAGAGGGATCCTGAGGAGACCCTGGCAGCAGCTACAAGGCTTTAGACTTTTCAATTCCAGGAAATCCCAGCAGGAGATGAGAATTTCTGGGCTGCGATAATGCAATGCAGCTACAAAAACAGGGTGGATTCAGTGGGGCTAAGGTAATTTAAGACTGAATACATCCCTGTGTTTTTAAAGGGAAAACAAAATTACAGTATTTGCACATGGAATTTGGATTCTTTTTTTTTTAAAGGGAAAATGCATGATAACACAACTAACAGCCAAAATGAAAAATGAGAATAAATTAGGCTACAAAAATCAAGCATTATCAGGACACTGCAAGTTCAAAGGGAGAATGGAAGTGGGGAAGAATTGCAGAGCTGTTATAGGAAAGGCTGTGGCACATGAGGTGTATTTTGGTAGACTACCATATGCAGAGACACTTGAACAAGTCAGCAGCAAGGGTTATTCTGCACTTCAGAAACACCAAAAGGAAAATATTGTTGGTCTTGGAGCTGACTAAATTTAACAGTAGCCTAATTGTGAAGAGAAACAGTGAAGATCCTGCTGGAAAGACAGACAAGTGACCAGATGGTGGCTGCAAGTCAGATGAAGGCTCCCTAGTTGGCAGAAAATTGGCACAGCCACTGTCCAAAAATGAATCAGGTTTGTTGTTTTCTTTTTTATGATGCTTGTACCCAGACTAAATGATCATAACTGTCATTGTAAATTTAAACATATGAATAAAAGTGAGGGGTCAAGGTGAGAACCCTATTATTTAGAAAATCAGAGCAGATACTGCAAAAGTTCTGAAGTGGGAAGGCCAAGGACTTGATGTTTAATAGGTTTTCTTTACTATAATCTCACAATTTTTTTAATTGTTCACCATTTCTAAGCAATTGACCTAAACACCTTAAAAGCCCAAATCTTATCGCATCCTCTGATGATGAACAAGTATATATATACAACTTTGCATACTTACTAACTTTTATTGGAACACTTCCCACATTAAACGCCTCAAGAAAAAAAATTTGCATCACTATTCTGAGCCATTGTTACAGCTTAATGACCTAGTTCACTGTCTCAGAATCAGTTTAAGAGGTCAGCAGATACTCAGAAAACTCTGCTACCCAGACCAGACTGCGTATATGAGCCCTGCCCTGCCTTGGTTACTACTTCATATTGAGTGGTTTGGGAAAGGAAAGCTACAAAAGGTCCTAGACATCTTTGCTCCATTATGAAACTGATTTATCTAATGTTAAATTTGTGGGTTTCAGAGCTATACAATTAAGACCAGTTTCCTCCTGAGAACTTCACTGTCCCTAAAAGCTGATGAGCCAGCAGGAGAGGAGACTGGCTTATGCCAAGATGCTCTTTTACAAATTATTACTCGTTCGTATTGAAGCAAAGAGCCTTCATCCAGAATCAGGACCTTACTCTGGGCTGTTTATGGGGAGGAGCTGGAGATGAAATTAGGTCTTATCAATTATGCCAATGATTCTTGTACCTGAATTGGTACACCATGTCACCAGCACTTTGTCCAGTACTCTGCACACCAGTTTTCAGTATTCGATAGCTTGGGCAAATAACTATACCTGAGCTACATAATGGGGACTGTGCCTGGAAAAGATGGTATTCTTTGTGTACACATGAAGAATAGGATGGACACCCTCTACAAAATGAGTAAAAAAAAAATTATAATGTACTTTCAGGTATTTTGGTATTGGTATTCAGGTATTTACATATTGGTAAATATGTACATGATCTCCTTTGTGAGGCCTAAAGATACTATTGTAATATTTTTTTCCTTAATTTCTTTTACCATTTTGGGTAGCATTACAGTGCTTGGGTGTGCAACTTGCAAGCGTTCTCTAAGTGCCTCAGGCTCAAAGCCATGCAAGAATTTGCTGAGAGAACATGAAATTTAACCTATGACTTCTATACACAAGGCTTATATGCTAAACTCTGGATTGATTCTTCTCCTTCGTGTTGCCTTTATACCCTGTTAACTGAGCGCTGCGCCAAACTACTGAAAAATATGAAAGGCTAACATAAAACTCTGGAAAGACAGAACTGACATAAATATTCTCTGCTTAAGGACAGTGTCAGTGCAGGAAACGTAGGAAGTATGGTTGAAAGGAAAAGATGGGAAAACCCCCCATAAATGGTGAAAATTCAAAAGACTTTGAAAGAAGGTAAAGAACTTAAACTTCAGTACTGAAAGGAGAAAGGCAGACCTGAAAATTGGAAAGATGGCGTAAGAATGAAGGGACAGAAGATGCCATGGTTTGCTCTGTTGACCGACAAAAAGTGCTAGCACTGTAGATTGCTACTGCAGGAGGAGCAGTTCCTGCTCTGCCACTGCTTGCTTTGAACATAATGATATTAAGAAAGGCTGCTGAGGTGAGCCTTTAACTTCCCATTTGGCCTCTTTGAAACACAGGATGAAGATGTGGAAGAAAAGGCCTAGGTCATCCACTCTCATCCATGCCACTTCTCATGGTCACGTTAAAATGTGATAAAACTCCATCTTTAAACTAGCTGGGTTTTGGTCTGACTCCAGATGGATGGCTATTTCAGGACAACACACTGAACTTCATTTTTTTATTAATAGTTCTTGTTCCACCACTAGTGCTGTCTTTAAGTATCACTGCTCCTCTGCTGGTCTCAGGTTACATCTTTGGGGAACAACTATTTACGCTCTGAGCCTTTGTAATCCTAATCTAAAAAGTCCTCTCTTCAATTCTGTGCTCTGCACTCCCTCTTTTCCATTCTCATGATTATCCAAGAAGACTTTCTCTGAGCTTTCTCCATTTTCTCAATAACCCTCTTGAACTGTGCATGCAGCACCCATGAAACCTCTGCACTCTTTAAAGAATAACTCCATCTATATATTGAATACAATACATAAACTTGAAAATACTATTCTCCCAGCCGCCTACACCGACACAAATGCTAACAAGTTCCTTGGCACTTCAAAAGTCACTAGTAACACACTAGCAAGACTTCAAAGGCCTTTTGAGTCACTGCTTCTTCAGATGTTTATCTCCATTCTGTATGACATGCAATATGACAGCATTTGCTTTCCCAAACAATAAAAACATTTATGACCTGTAGTATTTATTTACAATCCATTAGTCTAGATATCAGTATTTTTTCAGTATGAGCTCATGCTCAGTAATACCCATGTTGGAAGCTGGCATGCAGTGCAATGCCAGGAACTGATTCCTCTGAAACCCTTACCAGCAATGATCCTTCATGAGCAGTGAGTAACCACAGGGTCAAAAAACACGGCTTAAGAGCATGAGCACAGCTTGATCATGATGTGATGCGATGGTGCACAGTAGCAGGAAATGTATTAGTAAATCCAGGAGTTGCCTTCTCATTCTTTGCCGTTATAGCCTGAGATGCAATAATTACTCAATTTTTAATCTACTTAATCCATGCATTTAATTTTTAATCTACTTAACAGTTGTAATAGCGCACATGTATCATTTTAATTTCTTAATCAAAATATCAAGTAGCAGAGCAGATCTTATTAAAATCTGAATATCATGAGACGTATATTGTTGATCTTACAAGGGTGTCATGTTAGTTTGTTGTGTCAAGTAACCAAATTCAATTAAACGACTTAATCTTTTAACATTTTTATCGCAATTTTTCTTTCATGACTGAATATCTTGAGGAGCATTTCATTATGCCTTCTCAGGCTGATATTGTGCCGAAACTCCACGCATCTGAAATTCCTCAAGTCATTCACCCTATTTTTTTTTCCCTGTTAGCACACCAGTTCTCTTCAAATCATGTCTCCGGAATTTTCTTACTAATCAATAACTTAAAAAAGAATTATCAATACTTTTTTTGATAGCTTTTAATTTTTTTAAGGATCTCAGCTATGAGTTACCGAAGTCCAGTGACTTTAAAATATATCATTCCAGCAGCTGTTCTACAGCAAATCTAGAATTATTGTCTGAACAGAGTATCACCACAAATACTTTTTTTTTTCTGGTGTGAACATCAGTTGGTTTTGGTAAAGGGAGAAAAAGAAAAGTGTGAACATTTCCCTTCAGCAGCATCATTGTTTTTTGCTCATTTTATCTAGTAATGGACAAAAAACATTGCATCCTTTTAATTCTTCCATGCATGAAACATTCCTTCTTAATTCACAACTTAATTCTATTGGCCATAAATGTCCATGTTGCTATTGGCGTTTTCCTCATGAAATCTGTGTGACTTTTACCTATTAATTTCCAGTTACTAATATATGCCTTCTTCATTCTCTTGTATTCTTCCAGTTTCTTTCACTTTATCAAGTTGCCTGAAGGTTTTTAATATTTTTTTTATTACTTTTTTTTTCCAGCATAAAGCTACCCAATCTTCATTAAAGAAAACTGTGGCCATTTTGTATTCTGTTACTACTCACCGGGGAAAGAGATAAAAAGAGTGATAACAGAATGGTGAGTAAAACTCTTAGCAGATAAATAACATATTTTGTTTTAAATTTAAAAAAATAATAGTTAAGAACTGCAATGAGTTTTTTAGGTTAAAAGCACTGATAATTAAAACCTCCGAGATTTGGGCTTGCTTCTCTTGAACAGACTCTGTGTGTTTGTGCGTATGGCCCGAGGAAGGTGTGCAGGTACATGTGTGGGACTTAAAAATACACAGTTGACAGTCACTACACAGACTTTCTCATATTTCATTAAAGAAAACTGTGGCCATTTTGTATTCTGTTACTACTCACCGGGGAAAGAGATAAAAAGAGTGATAACAGAATGGTGAGTAAAACTCTTAGCAGATAAAGAACATATTTTGTTTTAAATTTAAAAAAATAATAGTTAAAAACTGCAATGAGTTTTTTAGGTTAAAAGCACTGATAATTAAAACCTCCGAGATTTGGGCTTGCTTCTCTTGAACAGACTCTGTGTGTTTGTGCGTATGGCCCGAGGAAGGTGTGCAGGTACATGTGTGGGACTTAAAAATACACAGTTGACAGTCACTACACAGACTTTCTCATATCTCACAAACCATCCACTAGTGGCCCATGAATCACAGGTTGAGCAACAGTGTCCAAGATGACTTGGTGGCCTATGTTGACCAACAGTGTCCAAGATGACTTGGTGGCCTATTGTAAAGGACAACTACTGCTCCAGAGTAGTTTTTATACATTAGGCTGTCAGTCTATGAATATTTGCAATTTTTAATTTTTTTTTTCCCAAAACTGAACAGGAATTTGGAAATATTTAGCACTGTGTTCGCCTCAGAAGTGCGTGTCCTCTGTCCATTGGGTATAACAATTGAGCTCAGCACTCAGCAGCCATCCTACCAGCAATACTGGCTGGGCTGAGATGACATTCACAAACAAGTCATTCCAGTTCCTCTTGTTCAGCACTAAGCTTCTTAAATGCCCAGTGAAAGAATTTTCCCCCATCAAATTGTATGCTGCCTCAACTCTTTTACAAAGGCATAATTTCTTCACCTCTTTGCAATGTTTTTGTCATTAAGTTAACATAGACCAATATAGGAAACCCACCCACTAAAAATTGTCTCCTAACCAAATTATGTCTCTCAGTTACCAAATGAATCAGCATTCCACTAAAAAAAATTAAAAATAATGTTTTTTCATCTTCCATTACCTACCTAGCTACATGTTGATTTCTATTTTCTGCCTTCAAAGGAAGAACCTCTGATAGGAAACTAGTGATCACTTTTATCTGGCAACAACCTCCCACATTTTCTAAAATGGTTACTCATTAGCTGCCTTTCAGATTTTGGGTCTGAAAAGAAATCACACTATCCTTCCTGCTGTAGCTTTCCCAACATGGACTATACATCGCCTGAATATGGGAGCTCTCTGTTAAACATAAACAAATCCCTCTGAGCTCGCCAATTCATTTGATGAGTCACATCATCTGTGATTTTCCTGCACTGTCATCAGGTTCTCATCATGATGATGGGTACTTCTTGACAGATAATGCAGCTGAACAGAGGTGCTCCTTTTGGATAACAGTGATGGTCTCTCTGTTCTTGTCTGTCACAGCTGCTTAGAATAACTCTCAATCCATTCCCTCCTAACTGTTATTCCCTTGTACACTTCCTCTCCACTTTCCACTCTCCTCAAACAGCTAGTTTTCTTCTGTTAACTGCACCAATGGATATATTAGACTTGGGAACAGAATTGTATTTCCAAGGAAATGTCATGATTCCTCTTCAGCTCTGCACTTTGCAGCCAGCTCACTGCTTAGAGAGTCAGCCTTGCTCCTCTGCCCTACTACATGAACAATGAGCTATTGCCACAAGGGGACTTCAGAGTTGAATAGAGTGCTCAGATACACACTCTCTGCACTCTGACCTATCCCATTTGGTTTGGATAGGAAACCACATCATTACAGCCAAGTAATGGGACCTTTAAGATCATCAGGTCCAACTGTCAACCTAACACTGCCAAATCCACCAATAAACCACATCCCTAAGCACCACCTCTACCCCTCTTTTAAATACCCCCAGGGATGGTGACTCAAGCACTTCCCTGAGCAGCCTGTTCCAGTGTTTGATAACCCTTTCAGTAAAGAAATTTTTCCTAATACCCAATCTAAACCTCACCTGGTGCAATTTGAGGGTATTTCCTCTTGTCCTATCACCTGTTACTTGAGAAGAGAGACCAATCCCCACCTCGCTACAACATCTTTTCAGGTAGTTGTAGAGAGCAATAAGGTCTCCTCTCAGCTCCTTTTCTCCAGGCCAAACAATCCCAGCTCACTCAGCTGCTCCTCATAAGACTTGTGGTCTAGATTCTTCACCCCCTTCATTGCCCTTCTCTGGACATGCTCCAACACCTCAATGTCTGTCTTGTAGTGAGGGGCCCAAGCTGTTTAACAAGTAGACTTTATCAACTTAGAAGTATCAGTGTCCTTGTTCTACCACACCTCCCACCTATATCCTCACAGACAGCAAAAATCAGGACCTCATGATCTGATTCACTCCCTCAGCAACCCGCAAGCAGCATTGGCTGTGCAAGAAATGCAATAAACAGCAAAACTGAGTGGAGGCAAAGGATCACCTCCCTCACCCTGCTGGCAACACTCTTCCTAATGCGGCACAGGATGCTACTGGCTGCCTTTGCTGCAAGGACATTTTGCTGGCTTATGGTCAATTGGTGTCCACCGGGACCCTCAGGTCTTTTTCCGCAAAGCTTCTTTCCAGCTGATGGGTCCCCAGTGTGTACTGACCAGTGTATGAGGTTATTCCTCTTCTGGTGCAGGTTTTTGCATTTCTCTTTGTATTAAACTCTTTTAAAAAGGACAAATTACTCTAAATAAAATGCTTAACCTGTATATTCAATTTGCTTTAGGTGGTTGGAATGTGGATTATTGCACTTTGTCTCCTTGGCACAGTAGCAGGTGAGACAATTTCTATAAAAACTACCACTAGACGGTGAAATGAGATGAAATACTATTTCAGAGATCATGACTGGTATTTTCCTTTATACTGAAGGGGTAGCATAATTGGCGGGTCATTGTATGATAATGTCTATTAGTGTACATAGAACTAAAGCTAAAAGGTTCTGCTCTGTTTAAACGTTATTATTAAGAATACAAGAGACATAACTCTGTGCTGAAAATTCACAGAGACATTCAATATCAGGTGTCCTACCTACACAAGCTGTCTTTATATGACTGCTGTGTACAAAGAATGGCTCAACAACAGGGTGCTAAGCACAACAGACAGTGCTAAAAGTTGAGCATGTGTGAGCAAGACACCCATTTCATCTAGAAAAAGCTACTATATTGAAAAAACGATCACTTTATTCACAATGCAAGGTTACTGCATAGATATCCTTCATTTCTACGAGCAGATAGACGATGCTTTGGAGTAGGAAACATGCAGAACCTGTCCTAACAAGCACTTCTTACAAGACATTTTAAAAAAGAAATTGAATTAATCCTTTACAAGACTAGAAAATGGTGTCTGGGTCTTTACTTGGTTTATCCTCAAATTACTTGGCTCCCATTGCGTTACCTGCCTCAGGCACTATCCACTAAGGAAACAGGAATCAATCTCAGTTTCAAAAGAAATCATAAAACGAAACACTGAGTTTTCTGCTCTTCAGACTGTTGTAGTCTCAAATACAGTATCAAGCGTAAGAGAGTCTGACATCTAAACAAATTGCTTCTTCTACTCCAGGTAAAGAGGTTTGCTACCCCAGGATTGGCTGTTTTACAGATGACCCACCCTGGGCTGGGGTACCAGGGAGACTGCTGACAGGTTTGCCTGACTCTCCTGAACATATGAACATCAGCTTCTCCCTCTACACCAGAGAAACAGGAAATAACTCACAGGTGACATTTATTTTTAACATCGAGAACTGACTAAACCTACCAATGTTTGTTAAGTTGTTTGCCTGTGATGACTGACATAGACATTTTAACAAGTCAGAATAAGCAGACAGGTTGAAGGTCCGGTAATGAGTGTACTTTCTGGTAAAGCACAAAAAAAACCCATGCTGTGAATGAACTGTAGGACACAACAGCTTCCCTGGCATTTTCCAGCACAAGGCTATGGGTTATGGCAGACCTTTTGCATGCATTTAGGTCTCTGAGGAAAATTCAAGGCTTGTTCAAATAAACAGCCTTCTGAATATTCTGATAGGAGAGCAAACACTGCTGTTTTACACGGAAGCTAGCTAGGAAGATATTGTGGCTTTCATAAAAGACGACGGATTTTATGCAACTTCTAAACCCACATCTCACCTGAAATCTGAGGAATTTTACACCCCTACTTGTCTCTCTGCAGCCTGAAAAAAAAGACTGAACTACCCAAGGGGCTTATGCCCTGAAATACTGAGAGCAATGTGGAAGAACCTGTAAATTGGGAGTTGGGACAACATCACATCAGCAATGCTTATAAAATTGCTAAATTCCTCTCAGGCTCCCAAACCAGGTGTCCCCTGGGCTGTACAGTGATGATTAGGATTCCATGAACTACGATGCCATCACTGCCCTTGCAGACATCATTGCGTACAGAAATCCTGGTTGCCACACTGAGAGTCCAACTCAGGCTCTCTAAGGATGAGAAGTTATACCTGTAATAAACTTTAACAATTTGCAGAGCAGGGACATGGGAGCACACAAGATAAATCCAGCTGCAAGTTACTCAGCACTTCTGTTGTTGACAAATTAAGTCAAAATACACCTTGCACCACTTCCCAGCCACTAAACGTAAATGTTTCTGTGTTCTAGGGCACAGCCCAAACTCCCTGAGCTCACATCACAGACCATGTATTTGTCTGAAAAACATACAGACAGCCAGATATCAAAGGAAAAGGAAAAATATAACTAACCAGCTTGCAGCAATGTGTGAAGATCACCTTCACCCCTATTGCACACTTGTACGCTTTCTTGTATGAAATTATTTCAGCCTTTCTGGAGTAGCTAATCACAAAAACAGGCACAGAAACATCACCTAACCAGGAAAAAAATAAATTAAAAAAACCCCAAAACCTAAAAAAAGCTGTTGCTCAGATGCAGAGCAGCACACCGAAGCCAAAGGTCAGGTCAGTAAAAGGCCAAGTTGAACTAGGAGATGTGGAGCTGGTGGGCTGCTCTCTGGAGAAACTCATCCAGCTCAGGCCAACAGGCATCGTGTGACACAGTGGCCCTTTCAGGTTGTTTCACATTCCGCATAAGGGTGTTCTTCCTCCATTAATCAAAATAGATAGGAGCAACAGAAACCACATGGGCACAACTTCTTTGGAAACCATAGTGGAACTCAGAAAGTCCCTGACTTCTAAAAATCACTGACTGTCAATTCAAAGTAGTCCCTTGAGTCCTACAGAGGTGTTGACCTAGATGACATTTTTAAAGTGTTTGAAAGTATGAATAGATAAAACTTTTTTTTTTTTCCCCCCACACAGGTGATCTCAGCAATAAACTCCTCAACCATCCAGAAGTCACATTTTTCCTCCCGTAGAAATACTTCCTTCATCATTCATGGATTTGCCAGCACTGGAAAAACAGGCTGGGTGGTAGAAATGTGCTTGGTATGAGCAAGTATCCTCTGATTTTCATCAGCAGTTGTAACTACAATCTGTCAGTATCCTTTAGGTGCTAATGTTCACCTTCCATCTTTCAATCCATTAGGCTGTAGCAGATACCCACCAAGAAGTAAATTTCACAAAAGGCAAAAAGTTCCCACTCTGGAAGACACAGCATAGTCAAATTTTCTTGGTCATGCCTGACATTACACTTCTCTAGGGAGTTTCCATCCCCAAACCCTACAGATAAATCAAAGCAATAAACTGAACACAGACGTCCCCAGACTCAACAGCGGTGTCAGGATACAGGATTAGACACACCCATTCACCCCTTCTCCCATTAGGAGCAATTGAACCATCCTTCAGTCAAAAAGCCTTCCTGAGTTGGAGAGCTCATTTCAGTCTACAAATACTGCTCCGAGTCACCATTCCTCATGTGGAATAGCTACCAGAGAAACGTGGAGGCTACCACAGAACCAGCAGAGCTTACTGTGTCAACCACAGCTTTGGCTCTGATAGATAAGCAAAATCTACTCTTGTTTCTGCTTCTTCCACACTTGCAGGGAAAAAAAAAGCCTTCCTGAGTTGGAGAGATCATTTCAGTCCACAAATATTACTCCAAGTCACCGTTCCTCATGTGGAATAGCTACCAGAGAAGTGTGGAGGCTACCACAGAACCAGCAGAGCTTACTGTGTCAACGACAGCTTTGGCTCTGATAGATAAGCAAAATCTACCCTTGTTTCTGCTTCTTCCACACTTGCAGGGAAAAGGACAAAATAGAAAAAGACTACCTCTGAATATTAAGTTGCAGATCTGCAGAATTATTTTTGTTCATAAATCTATGAAATCATTTCATCTACAATATTAAATTTCCCAATTTTTTAGTTGAAACAGCAATTCCGCCTCTCCATGCTACAAATTGTGTTTATGGTGCCTACAGGAGAGGATGGAATCCAGGATTCAAGGCACTGTCACTTCTAGCTTCTGTTTTCCTTGTCATTCACTTTAAGCCACTTACCATAGTCTAATTTTTGTTTTTATTCCTTATTCTTTCTCAAGCCGTAACTAAGCCTTAGTCACAGACAGCTACAGCTGCAGACTTTGATTATATGACTCTTCCA